AAATACAAATAAGTTAGGTACAAATACAAAAATTGCTGAAAGTTCACATTACTGAGCAGGTTGTTGTGGATTGTGAAATATGATGTAGTTTTATTTCCAAAAGTTTGAATCTTCATTGTTTGTATGGCGAAACTGAGAAAGTTGAACAATTTATATATATTCCAGTGTCATTCTGATTCAGATTAATACTTGTTAAAGGGTAATACCAACCAAGTTGCCGCCTTCACAAAATAAACTGTACTCATTTCTGAATTCTAATTCAATCTATTTTCATCGAACAGATCATACTTTCATTTTTGTTCATACATCAAAAATTTGCTAAGTTCAAATTAACGTGAAATTTCCCGAGATAGAATACATGTTATTTAGAATGTAACATTTTGCCTTTACCAGACTTTCGAAAGCATAAAGTCAAGTATCATATACCAGTCTTAACAATGTCAAGTAATGGTTTATTCTCGCTGTCCTCTGAAGTGTCTTAAATGAAATTGAGGCTTATTTGGTCAAATTCAATATGGCCATGACTTTCAATAGCTCATTTAGTCTGACCAATATACAACGTCTTCGCATCACTTCATTTTTAAGATAACTCAATACTCAACACTTGTGTTAAAGTGAACAAGCAGTTCTGAAATTATTATTTTCGTTGTGGTTTTTCAATTTATTTCGGATCACATGAATTAGTCATGAAGTTTGACTCATCAACTTTTCAAAATAATTATTATTTACAAAACACTCCTTGGTTTTACCTTTTTTTTAATCAACTTATTGACTATGTTTGAGATTGCTCTTAGCTATGCCCTTTATGGATAAAAACATCTCTATTCTCTGTTTTTTTTTTCAATTTCTTGTTTCAACTTTATTTGAATAAATTTAATTGTATTAGTTTCAATTGTACTTTCAGTGGAATTTATTATTGTACATTGAATGAAAGTCATTTTATGTCAGATGTTTCGTTCTCACCTTCCACGTGTTTGAGAATTTAAAAATTGTAAATGGAAAATTTTATCCAAATGTAGGGAGGGCAAATTTTTCAGTACACCCTGATAAGTCGTAAATAGTCATATGCTTTTCTGATCGGAAAATATCCTGTTCATCAGTAACTTGCCACATTTAATTTTGTCTATAAAAAAGAAAGCCAAAAACCTTTTTCCCAAAAAAACTAATATCTCCTAAAATATTTCTCTTTTCAATTTCAATAATATTCATATTGTGGAAAGTAAAAATAGCCAAAAAATGTTCAACAAAATCCTATAGATGTTCCTAAAAAATTGCAGTCATTCATATCTTCAGTGTACTATATTACTTCTAACTGTGCCAAAATGATGAATTTAAGGAAAATTAGAGAGGAAATCATTATACAAAGCGTTTTCGGCGGAAAGCAATCTCCTGAAACCCATACTCTATATAATGTCACTATTGGGGATTTGAATAATTCTTTTCAATTAGAACTATCAGCTTTGGAACGAAATAAAATGTTTTGCCCCACGGTTAGGAAATGTTCGAATAATTAATTTGTTGAAAGAGAAAAATATAATTATATCTGATACTGTTGTGAATGAGTAGTATTTGATTTGATGTATGTATCAATACCACTTTATAATGAATATGTGACTTCTCTTTGTGATCTTTTTAATTGACATCTATTTGACAACTGGATAATAATTTACACTAATGATATCACGGGTGTCCCAAATATATAAATATATGTAATACACAACAGATACTCAAACAAAAATTGAAGAAATCAGTTTACTTCTCGGAGCAGATATTTATGGTCAACTCTTAACAGGTAGAATAGAGAAAGTTGATGATATGGTAGCAGTTGAAACTCATTTTGGGTGGACAGTAATGGGATCATATCACCAGAAAAACACAATAGAAACTCTTTGTTGCTTTAATGATAGTACACTTTCTTATTTGTGGAGTTTAGATGTTTTGGGGATAAGGGATCCAGTTTATATAAAGAAAAAGGAAATTTTAGAAAAAAACAACCAAATGAATTAATTATTTAGATGATGAAGGTGAAGAATGATGCAAACTTCCATTTTCCAAGTTGACTATTGAAAAATATTTTTTCTTACATCACTGAATTGTTTTTTTCATACCTACTTAAATGAACCTGGATCAAATTGATATAAATTTTTGAAGGTTTTATTTTGCTACAGGATTAATGATGGACAAATTTCTGTAGCAGTATGTGTTTTGACATTTCTACTGAAGAATTTGACAGAGTTTTCCGATATGACATAAAGCTGAAGTTTGACAATCACAACAGAGATCATTTCATTCAATATTTTTGTGTAGATATTCATAAAACTAGACTGTGATATTTTCAATTTTATTTAATATATTTCATAACTTTACAACAAAATTAAATTAACTCAAATATAAATATATCTAATTGAGCATGATAATGGATTATGCCTTGCAGACACAACAATCTAGGACAGAAAACTTTTCGTTATCAAATGTAAAATGTTCATCACTTTTCGAGATGAATATTCAGGAAGTGATGATGTGGGTGTATAATTCTTCAATTTTTACCAAGTACTTGTTAGACAAGGAGTTGAGCCCATCATACCACTGTTCATCATTGGTTTCTTGTAGTATTTGAAATCTGTCCTTGCTGAAAAAGAAAATTCACAAGTAAATAAACTGAGTTAAGGAAGATTTATAACATGGGAATGACTTTTTTATATACCTAAAACATACTCATTGCTTTTGGTAGAGATCCGATTTCAATTCAATGTTAAAAATAATTCAAAACTTGAAACAAATGAAAAGTTATAAAGACGATTTGATCTCCACAAACTTTATTTGAAAAATATATATCACAACATGTTTCGCTAAAACATTAGCTTTTTCGAGTGATTTATACTTCAAGTTGTTCTTAACATTAATATTTATATACTACAGGTAACCATAATTTAGACTACCTACAAAAAATTACCTGAACTTAACATACCTGTTCAATTATGATCACCTGAAGCATATTACCTCACATCTACATCAATAATAATTCTTTCTGGGTTTTTAAGAAAAGTGATTTTCTTAAAAACCGATCAATAATAGTGATCTACTCGAATATAGTTGATCATTCATTAGAATGTTTGAATTTTTTAGTTTATTAATTTCCATTGCTTTCAAATGATTCAATATTTAGGCTTGACTGCAGAACCTCAACTGATACTTTGTACAATGTAACCATGATACTGCCTATTCAGGATATTCTAGAAATTGAACAAGGTAAATTTGCATACAAGACTATACATGAACAAGTCAAATGTAATACTTCACAAATGTAAAACTTCACATTTTTTAATGAGCTCCACAAATACAATACTCGTACCCACAATAATATCTTTTTATTTCTCACATTATCGATCACTATAAGATTTTTATTTTGTTTACATTTGTATTATAGATTCTTAATTGATAATTGATAGTATTAGTAATAGTAGTAATTTAATGATGCAATAGACACTACAGCAGTGTTTCTCAAAGTGTGCGCCGCGGCGCTCTGGAACCTTTACTGGGGCGCCGTGGGCCACGGATGAGTCTCAAGGTACAATGTTTTACAACATAGATAACTGAGAGTAAAGGTAATACGTCGGTACCTATTAATAAAAATCCTCCGATAATATAATATCGGTAATAGCAAAATGCAATCCGTTCAGACAGCCACCTACCTACTTTTATTAATTAAATATGTAGTGTACTCTTTACGTTCGGGGTGCCGCGATAACCTTAAAAAAACATAAGGGAGCCGTGAATTCGAAAAGTTTGAGAAATACTGCACTACAGTGTATAGAATAAGGCATAAAAAAGGTACAACATTGTTTTTCTCAAGTAAAATTCATGAATGAAATCTGATACATGAGTACATGCCTCATCTCAGTGGACCTTCATCATTCGCTCGAGAATCTCAATAAACTATCGACAAAATGTTTTTGAAATTGAAATTTTCTTTTTTTTTACCGACTAGGTATTCCCCGAAGATGATCACTTGATAATCGAAACACGTGTCGAGATGTTTAAACAGCGGTTTGGTGTTGGGATAAAACTTCAGTCATATATATCCATTACTACACCAAAGGTTCCAAACAGTGCAACACAAGTACAAGGCGACATATTTAATAATCCCATATATGGGTCACGTCAACCAAGCCAACCAGAGATCTCCTAGCTCACATCAGACATGTGTGACTCTAGCAGAGAATTTGAATATAGCGTTCCTAAAATTAGGAATACGAAAGGCTCAAATAACTTCAGACAAAATGAGCAAAATAACTAAACTTCTATAGATGAAACTTCCAATATTTAAAATCAGTGACAAACTTGCTTTAATCAAGAATTTCTCTTATAAAATATAAATTAGATTTATTCGTTTCACTATTTTTTACTGTATATTTTTTACCCGCCAATGTGGAGGTACAAATAGAGGGGGGAAAAGGTAGATAGTCATCCCCTCAGACTACGTGAAAAAAAACACATCAGCACACCCTCATCTGGAGAAATTTCAAGGCCTCAACAGATTAGTGGGCTATAATGTCAATGTTCATATCTATTTATTCAAGAGCTGAGGCCCCTTTTTTAAAATAAATATGATTACTAAAATGTTGTATAACTCAATATGGACGACATTCCAAACTTTTCTCTTTACGAAAATTTTCGACA